CTTCAGATAAAGAATGAACAAGTGTTTAGTATTACTTTCCTCCCTGCAGTATTTAGGGCATACTTATAAAGAAAAATCAGTGCCTATCTACAGTTCAAATTTAAATGGACATGCAGGGGTTTTTCCGGCAACCCTACCTCCCTGGCTCCACTGCATCATCCTGCACTCTACAGGAGCCTCGTGGGATGCTTATACAATTTCAAGTGTGGAAAACATTGTGTGCTAGAGGCCTTCCATCAAAGCCCAAGCTGAATCCTTTTTGTAATGACTGCATGTGTAATGACTGCATGTGTAAATTAGAACATAGTATTTATTGGGGGGGGCTGATAATTCCCACATCACTCATTTGTATACGTCTGAATTTTCTGTATTGTGTTTTCATATTACAGAGAACTATAGGACTTATTAGGTCCAAAAGGTCCCCCACATTACAAGGAAAATATATAGAGAAATAGAAAATTAGTTTATTCGTGGTTCTGTCCACAACGGAGGTGGGCGGGTGAGTCTCAGTCCATCTCTGCCTGGCTCATAGCGGAGTGGCAGCATGCAGAGGGGAAAGAACGCCAGGAAATACACATGCTCGCAGTTTCCCTTGGCTTCAGGGCTCTTGTGGGTGGGCCAGCTTCACTGCCCACGTGGAATTTCCCTAGAAGAAAGCCAGTTCCTAGGCCTCTGTAACACCACATTGTTAACAGATGAGGGGAAAGAGCCTGGCTTTAGGAGAAGCCCTGGCAGCTCCGGAGGCTTCAGTTTCCCCACCTCCATAAACATCTCTGCCAGTGCCCGTGCCAAGCTACTCTCGGCCTCCACGCTTGGAGTGGGAGCACCAACCTTTGTGTGCCCAACCCTGACACTGTGTGCTCTGACCCTGAAGAAGGTGACACTGTCGACTGCCTTTTCGCCTGACAGGCTTCCCCATCTGAACGGCAGAGATGGTCTGAGGACCTGCCAATTCCACCTCTTCATGCCACAGACCGGGGTTCCCATGCCCTGAGAGAGAGTGTGTTCCCACAATTCCACCTCTTCACACCACAGACCAGGGTTCTCATGCCCTGAGAGTGTGTTCCCACAATTCCACCTCTTCACACCACAGACTGGGGTTCCCATGCCCTGAGAGAGAGTGAGTTCCCACAATTCCACCTCTTCACACCACAGACCGGGGTTCCCATGCCCTGAGAGAGAGTGTGTTCCCACAAGTGCTTGCCTAGCCCTGAGTGCCATCACTTGCGTAGTTCAAAAGTGCACATCTGAATCAAAATTATTTCCGTTACTTTTCAGCCCCAGGCCTGGGAAGATCAGGGAACTTGGCCGTGGACGTCTCGGGTACTGAGTTTGGGCGAGTCATTTGCCTGCCTCTTTGACCTGGTTCTCTGACTTGGCTCCCACTCCCCTGAGCATGGGAGTGCTGCCTTCTCCTCACCTCCCCAGTCAGCTTCCCCACCTGACCAGGGCCAGATCCCAAGGTCAAGTGAAGGCCTGGTCTGCCCATTTTGCATCCTGGAGTGGGGTGCAGCTCTGAGGACAGGGAGGTGGCACTGTGACACTAGGGGATGCTTTTAGACTTCTTCTAATGATTTTGAAAGTGGATAGACATGATGTTCTGAAGAATCTCCCAGACCTACCATGTCCACAATCACCCAGGAATTGGTAAGAATGTACGTGTTGATTCCTTAGCGCTGGGTTGGGGCCTGGAATCTGCATTCTCATGAGCGCCCAGTTGATGCTATTGCTGCCGGTCCAGGGACCACACTGAACTGGAAGATTCTAAATCGAGGACTGCGTGGAGTGCTTATCTAGCATGCGTAGCCCTGAGTTAGAGCTCGAGCATGCTACCGTGGATGCAGTGGTGCACACCTGTATGAAATGGGTGTGATGTTGCACCCTGTATGCAGTGGTGTGATGTTGTACACCTGTACAAAGTGGTGTGATGTTGTACAGCTTTACGTTGTGGTGTGATGTTGCATACCTGTATAAAGTGGTGTGATGTTGTACACCTGTACTAAGTGGTGTGATGTTGCATACCTGTATAAAGTGGGTGTGATGTTGGACACCTGTATGAAGTGGGTGTGATGTTGCCCACCTGGATGAAGTGGTGTGATGTTGCACACTTGTATGAAGTGGTGTGATCGTCGATTTAGGATGGATATTAAAAATTAAGCCTATTGATAAGGCATAAATAGCCAGTTTAGATTCAGGTACTTTTTTCTTCAGAGCTGCTTGTAGAACCCAGAGTCTTGTGCTTGCTGGGCAAGCCTTCCACCCATGAGCTTTCCCCAACCCAGGCAGCTCACCCTGGAGATTCCTTCTGTCCATCCTGCCTCCCTCTTCTCTTCAAACTCTGGGTCAGACTTTATTCCACTGTTTCTAGAATGCAAGTGGTTGTTGAAATAGTTTCCTACTAAGTCATGGAGAGGTGGAGAAATAGGGCCCTTCAACAGGAGAGAATGACTCAGTGGGAAGCCATCTGAAGACCTGCAATGTGGCTCTGATAAATATCTCCACCAGAGGGTTTTACATTTAAGATGATAAACATCGTTCTCAGTAAATTTGTGGCTTGCCGTGGCTTAGATCATGTACCCTGTAGCCCCGTATACAAGACAGCTGTGGCTTGCCGTGGCCCAAATCATGTACCCTGTAGCCCCATATACAAGAGACAGCAGTGACTTGCCGTGGCCCAGATCATGCACCCTGTAGCCTCGTATACAAGACAATCGTGGCTTGCCATGGCCCAGATCATGTACCCTGTAGCCCCGTATACAAGAGACAACCGTGGCTTGCCGTGGCTCAGATCATGTACCCTGTAGCCCTCTGCAGAAATGTGCTGTAAGCCTGAGCAACCAAAGCTTTGGGTCTTTCTCCAAGTGAGCAGGAAGTGTACCCTTATTTATAGCTTGATACTGAGTTAAAGCTAGACCCAAGAGCAGCAGTCTGCCTAGACATCTTAGCTGTGTGACCTGACCCCTGGAGCCTTACTTCACCTCTCTTGAGCCTGAGGTCTTGCTTGGTGAGGTGAGCAGCATGGTACCTGCCTAGCAGGTTTCCTTTATTGCCTGTCGAGTCTAATGCCTGGTAGGTGGACAGAAAGTGACAGCTTGGCCATTTGAATCCTTGTGGTGTGACTGGCCATCTAGTCCAAAAGTCCTACTGATGACTCGGGAGGGGTCTTACAGGATGAGAGAAGCCACTGCTGCAGCCTCCACCTCCCACAGGCAGAATGCTCCGGATGAGGTCCCCTAGTGGCTTGCACACTGTCAACGAGCTCCCTGCCCAGAGACTAGCTTTTCCTGATTCTTGGAAGCTGCCCCCTCTCTCTGAACTCTGAGGCAGTGCAGGCAGATGTGCAGGCAGACACAGATGTGCAGAGCTATGGTGGGGGCTGCGGCAGAAACCCTCTATTTCTTGCTCCTATGGGAGCATGTGGGTGGAGACCGAGCTAGTAGGGTCAGCGGCTTGCAGGTCTTGTTTTCCAGTTGCCTCTGCCCTTTCAGAAGGGAAACCCCGCAAACTTCGTCTTAGCTGGGGTCTTTGTAAACCCAGTCAAGCGTGCAAGCTGGAGTCCATCACAGGAAGCGTGTGGTGCTTTTCTGGCCCGTAGATGGCAGCATCTGTACTGTGAGCAAGTTCTGTGGGAGTGTGCCTGTGAGCGCATGTGTCACACATGCGTGCAAGCATATCCTTCACTGGCTTCTTCCTTTGGGGAGTCTGGAGCTGCGGCGGGCAGGGTCTGGAGTAGCATGGGCTGCATCTGCTGGGAGGGACTGTACAGACACAGACTGCTGCAAGTTAGTGTGGCAGAGAACCTAGGAGCTGAGGGTTCAAGGACACAGGGGTACAAAACTTGCCCAGAGGATGCAGGGACGGAACACACTGTATCTGGCAGGAGTCTGGCAGGCACAGACAGAAGATGGCAGCAGATGTGAGCTGCGGTCCGAGCGGCTGGCCACGCAGACCACAGAGAGTAGACACCCAAAGTCGGCAAAGGATCCTACACTTTGTCTGGGGATGTGTGGAGCCACCGCGGGTCTGAGCGGCCCAGTGATGTGGTCTGGGCCTGCCCTGAGAGAGTCAGAGACGGGCTGGCCAGCTGAGAGGTGGCAGTGGGGGTGGAGAGTGGGGTGTGATCCCCTGTAGTCAGAGGCTGAACTGAATTGGAAGTCAACATGAGCTGGAGGTCGTGGGAGTGATGCCAGGACCTCTGTGTGGATGCTCCCGGGAGATGTGGCCAGGGGTACCCCTTGCCGAATGGGAAGTATGAGGAAAGGGGTACACCTAGGAACGTATACAGCCCCCCAAGTGAACAGGTGAGACTGGTTTGGAGTTAATGGAGTGTGCATATCTATCTGTCATTTTTCAAAACAAACCCCCCATGTGCTTTGACATGCCTCTAGTAATTGGGATTTTTTTTTTGCAAGATATTTGAGAAAGGCCTGCAGAGGTGCCATTTACCTTCTGTTCCCCAGACCTAGAGAAACGTGTGACCTCTGACCCCTCTGCCTGTGGCTCCATGCCCATTGCTATGTTACCTACTGACATTATAGAAACCATCAGCAATGTCTGGGCCATATGCTCCAGTTAGGAAGGGGCCTATATCATCACATCAGGAGCCTTGGGGCCCACTAGGTTGGGATCCTGACTCTCCCCTTGTCTGGAAGAAACTGGTGAAGTATAGGAGTGAAGTTCCAGGTTGTCCCTGGAAGTCAGGGGCCAAAGGGCCCAGCTGTACAACCCACCATTGGATAGGATGATTCTTGGTGATCCTTCAGCCCCTCTTCTAATGGGCACTGGAGGTGGCGTTTGCTGGGTCATGTACTGTGCCACACAGTCTCAGAGTGAAGCAGTTACTCCAAGGAGCTCACAGCCTGGCATCCTGAGGTCCACTCTTGACAAGCTCAACCCTCCAGCATCAGGGGTGGGCAGCCCTGGCTGGAGATATGCAGGTAGGTGGGATTTACCCATGTGACCTCAGACACTGACACCGAGATTCCTGGGCCCTTTTCCAGGTTCCACCAACACTGCTCTCCCAGTGCCTCGGCAGCTGTCACAGCGTCTCCTCACGGAGTGGCTGTCTTCTTCTGAAAGGTAGGTGGAACAATACAGAACCACTGTGTACCCAGTGTCCCGGGAGTCTAGATGATTCCGGAATGGAAGCAGCTGAACAGCTTTTGTGGAGTACAGGTTTCCCTTTGTGGACAACACCGTTTATTCATTACCCCATCTGCTCCTCACCAAGAGGAAGACAGCTGAGGGCAGGGATGAGGCGGGCTGAGCGCCCCATGCCTGCTCCCGCCCTGGCCATGCTTCTTGCTTGCTGTGTTCTCACGCCTTCCGGGAGCTCTATGGTGGGGTGGGTTCCCTTGAGGAGGAGAGGTGGGAACCCTCCCTGCAGGTTGTGGAGAGGTGGACAAAGTTGGGTGTGGCCACCACGTCCCCGTTTGTTGACTTAGGAGGCACCTGAGGAGTGTGAGTCATGGGAGGCTGGATGAGTCATTCCCACCTGGCTGGGCCCACTCTCAGATTCCCGGGTGATCCTGAGCTGCACTGGGGGCTGGGCAGAGTGCAGAGTGCTGGGCCAGGAGACCCTGATTCCTTGGGTGGGGCCTGGGCTGTTCCTCCTGGAGGGCGGTACCTTCTGCCCCCTCCTCATCTAACAAGGTGGTGGTGGGGATCAGACAGCCCCGCAGATGCCTTTGTGAGATGGAAAGCCAGGAGGGTCACAGTGAGAGCATTTCAGCCTAACAGAAGAGAACTTCCAGTTGTGTGAGGAGAAAGGAAAGCGCCCTCCAGCATATGGCATCAGTGGTCAGCCCATGATGTCACCAATGCTTGCCAAAGGAAGCAGGAAGCGGGTGCCTGCATTTCCCAATCCTCCACTGAACCCAGTGGAGGAGCTGAGCATGCCTCTGTCCCTCTGAAAGTCTAGATGACAGGGCCTTTGTCCTTGGATCCAGAGGTTTCTAGAAGGTTCTGTAGACCTGGCCTCCCTCAGCTACCACTGAAGAATCACATCTGGCTTCTGGGGTACCTGCTTCTAACAGTCCAGAAACTGGGGTGTCCCTACCTGTGTATGATTCTGCCTGTTGAACTTCTGGAAACACCACAGGGCCACAGCCAGACCTGCTCGGGCCTAGCTGAGTGTCTCAGGAGTCTGCCTGTTCACCCTTGCGGCTTCCCTATCCCCTGCACTGCACCTGCCTCACATTCACCTCCATGAACTTGGGTGTAAGCACGGTGCCCTGGTGTCCGCCCATCAGACCCTCAGATATCCTTGTCCCAAGTCTCTGGCACATTGATACCTTCTTCTCCATCTGGAACATTCTCTCCCTGGCCGCTGGAAGGCTGTCTTGTCAGTTTCCCTGAGCTGCCCCACCCACCCTTTCTGATATGCACAGCGCTTTGTTTTTCTGACTTAAATGTTAGGCGGATTCTGGAATCCATTCATTCCCAGAATCATGTGACAAGTATCTAGGGCCTGAGCTGGCAGTTGGAGAAGACACAAAGAATAGAACCTTCCTATTCCTCCTGGGTCTTGTGTAAATGGTTGTGCCTGCCTTGGCTTCCTGGGTCTTGTGTAGATGGATCTGATGGTCCAAGGCAGCAGCTAGGAGGAGGTGTTTCTCTGGACAGGGCAGAGAAGCGTGCGTGCCGGACAGCAGGGTGAGCTAGGAAGGGAGAGCATCCCTCAGACGGGATGGGGAATGGCCAGGCAAGGGACCAGGGCTTCCAGGCCATGCTGCCCTTGACTGTGGATTTTACTCCACGCTACTAGAGACTGTTAGGAGCTTCCCAGTGGGAGACTTGGAAAACTTCATTAATGACACCATCTCACACATACATACATACATGCATGCACATGCACACACATCTTATGACCCTACATGGCATCGTTTAAGTATTTTCCTCACTGAAGTGCCCTGATTCTTCATGTAGGACCTGGTGTTGAAGTCCTGGGAAATGTGTGCTCTCCCAGGGTTCTCTTGGCTCTTTGCCACCAACCTCCCTCACCCCCATCTCCCAGCCAACCCTTGCTGACTCTCTGGAATGGGTGGTGAACAGCCCCATCCTGAAAGAGGAGCCATGCAATCCCCGAGGGAGACAATTGTGGTCCATACCCAGATGCTTTCCAAGACACCCATGGGGCCAGTCAGCTTTTCCTGCCTGTGAGATGAGCTCTGGACTGAGAAGGGGAATTGGGTGTTCCAGGCAAGAGGATAATGTGCAAAGGGCTGGTTACCTGGAGGAGCCCTGTGTGCCTGAGGACAAGTGAGTCATGTCTGGAGACCAAGGCGAGAGTGGCAGGAGGAGACACGGATGTCTGGAGAGAGACCTCGGATGCTAGCTAAGCTTCAGTCTTCCGGTCACTGGGAGCCATAGATGGCCGTTGAGGAGAGGAGCGGCTTGACTGATGAGATTTCAGAGCAGTCAATTAGTGGCAGGCAAAGAGGAGGGCGGTCAGAGAGGGCAGTGCCGGAATCTTATAGGAGAGTGTGTTCCAGCCAAGCTCTGTCACGTCCCTTTCCTATTCAGAGACAGACACACACAGACACATTTACAGAGAGAGAGAGAGAGAGAGAGAGAGAGAGAGAGAGAGAGAGATACACACACAGCGACACACACAGAGACACAGACACACACACAGACACACACAGAGAGATAGAGATATGCACACACAGAGACATACACACAGACACACACACGCAGACAGGTAGAAACTCAAACAAACACACACACATACACACACACACTCAGACAGATACACACACACACACACACACACACACACACACGAATGACCTGTGTCTCTCTTTCTCTCTCTCTCTCTCTCTCTCTCTCTCTCTGTTCTTCGCTCTTGCCTAGTTCTGTTCCCACTGTCTAGCTAGGCTGACTTGAGTCGGATCACTGCAGCACCAGACTCTAGGAGTTAAGTCTGAGCTAGTGTCTCTGAACAGAATGTGCCCCAGTCCCTCTCAGCTTCATTCTCTGTATCCATGTAGGAGGGCTCAGATGGTGACCTGTGAAGGAAGGGGTGCAGCACTTGGGTACATGAGATGGCTGGGGAGCCTTTACTGTAAGGTCAATGCCCTGCTCAGGTCACAACAGGCTGTCCCCAGCAGTGCTCACGAAGGCCACGAGGGGGATTTGGGGGGTGGTTCCTGGCCCAAGGTCAGGCATGGGGCTGGTTAGGATTCATTCAACATTTCCTCTCTTGGACTCAGTACGCAGGATGGTGAGGTTCTCAAAAATCCTAGACAATAACAACAACAAAATTTAATTTGCAGTGTGCCACAGGGGCTGTGATGTAGGTCAGTAATAGAGGGCCTGCCTGGGATTGGCTCCCAGTTCATCAATAGCGATAAAAAGAGCGACAAGATACAGTTTCCAAGCTGATCAGAGCTGGGCACAATGAGATAAGTGTTTGAAAGGCAGGGTGTCACAGCATCCTGGCTGAAAGGGCCCAAGGGTGCACACCGACCTCCCTAGTTCACATTTTGGGAAACTGAGTCCCAGGCAGAAGCCATGGAAGTAAGAAGCAGTAAAAGAAGCCTAGGCCCAGGTCCAGTCTCCCTTCTAGGCAGGTGGGGCTCTTTGCTCAAACCCTCTTCCTCAAGAATTGTGAACAATGGCTTCCTGAAGAAGTTTTAGTTAACTGTGTGTGGGGAAAGAGCCATTTCTGGGGCCGTTTGTGCTCTGATGCCTGTCGAGCTGGGCCTGGCATAACTCTTTCAACCCCAGCCAGAAGGGCCTATTTATAGCTGCTAGATTGAAGCCTGGCCTATCTCAGGAGGCCTTTTCCCTCTGTCCTGCCCAGCCGTGGCTGAGGAAAACGCTCTATGGGGAATGATGAGCCGTGGGAACTGAGGGGCTGTTTGAAGCCTGTTCAAGCAGGACCTCAGTTTAGCTACCAAGTATAATGGCTTTCTGCCTGTTCTGATGCCCTCTTCTGGTATCCAACAGCACTACATACACATGTATGGTGCAGATACATATATGCAGGCAGAACACCCATAAACATAAAATTAAATAAATCTTTTAAAAATAAGAATAAAAAAGACACACTTATTTTCATTTTATATGTTTTGCCTACATGTCTTTTTTTTTAAAAAAAAATGTTTGTTTATTATATATACACTTTTCAGGAGATAGTGCCAGATCTCATTACAGATGGTTATGAGCCACCATGTGGGTGCTGGGAATTGAACTCAGGACCTCTGGAATAGCAGTCAGTGCTCTTAACCTCTGAGCCATCTCTCTATCCCTTGCCTACATGTCTTTAGCCTTGTATGTGCGCCTAGTTCTAAAGAGACCAGAAGAGGGTATTGGATCCCCTGCAATGGAGTAAGGGATGTTTGTGAGCTGCCATTTAGTGCTGGAGCTGAACCCAGGTCCTCTGCAAGAGCGGCCAATGCTCTTAACCACTGCACCAACTCCCCAGCCCATGTAGGTGCTTTTAAAAAGGAGCAATGGAGAGAGTAACAGGCTTCAAAATCTAGCCCTGGATTTAAACCCTGCTCTGCTTTGCCTAACTGTGCAGTCTTGAACTGAAGACTGACTTCTCTGAGCCTCAGTTTCTCCATCTCTAAAATTGGATGATGGCACCCATAAATTTTAATGAGGATTCAGAAAACTGGTGCTTATGAAGTTCATGTCATGGGGCTGAGGAGATGGCTTAATAGCTGAGGTGCTGGTCCCACGTGCCTGTTTGGTCCCTTGCACCTACATAACCACAGAGAAGGGAAGGCAGGGACAGGAGGATCCCCTGGGCTTGCTGGCTAGACTGTCTGAGCTAATATGTGAGCTCCAGGCTCAAGGAGAAGACATGTCCTCCAAAATGTGGTGAAGAATGATTCAGGGAGACGGCTGACCTTGATCTCTAGCCTCTACATATATGAGCACACATCTGCACACACATACATACATCTGCACACATACCTACACACACATACGTGCACACCTGCACACACGCATCTGTAGACATACACACCTTCACACACAATACCTGCACAATACCTGCACACACACATACATGCACACATCTGTGTGCACACACATCTGTACACGCACATCTGCACACACATCTGTGC